GACTTCCGCTGGGGGTGTTGATAAGACCGATGTGAAATCGAAACTGCAGTCCACTGGTGCCCGGATGAGAACAACTTTTGGGAAAGCAAGGCAATGTGAAATTTAATGGAAACGTGAGCTCTACAAATATCATTGTGGGAAAATTCTATTACCAGCCCTTCATCACCTTAAACAAAATAGAGTGAATACATCTCATATTACTGTTTTACTGGTAGTCTCGAGACTCTACTTAAATACGAAAAATAAGTAGCATAGTCGATTGCTATAGCAGATATACGTTTGCTTTATTGACAATACCATCAAAGAATATGATATGGCAAAAGGCCTGGCCTTCCTTGAAATTTACATCTGCCCTATGATCCAAGGGCACTCGTGTCATACTACCATTCTGCACTGTCACGGTTCTACTCCCGTTGGGGGTGTGGATAAGACCGATGCGAGGTCGAAACTGCAGTCCACCCTTGATGAGGACAACTTTTGGGAAATTCAATGGAAACGTCAGCTCTACTCATATCATTGTGGGAAAATTCTACTACCCGTCCTTCATCATCTTAAACGAAATAGAGTAAACACAACTTATATATATGGTTTAGTGGTAGTCTCGAAAGCCTACTCAATAACGAAAAAAGGTAGCCAACACCCGACATATGTTACTTCGTTAATAGTAGAGAGGATTATAGTTGATATTAGTTGTGTTCGTGGTATTTATATATTATGTGCTAGTAGTGGATTACAATTATGCCAAGTATGCATCAGGTCCGCCCGTCAGCATAACATTTTATTCATATTTCGACTGGTGACAACTGAAATAGTCTGTGTTATCCAATAGTTATATGGATACCTAAAAGCTGAATTAAGAATGCGTCAGTACAGAAGATATTCCTAGTAGATAGGAGACTTTATTAATGACAGAGTATTACTGAATCTATTTCAGTTGCTAAAACTCTGGAGGAAAAGACGCTCTATCGAGTTTTCTGAATCCATGCTTTTGTTATCTCTATCGGAACTTGATTGAGAGTTGGTCGTGTTTCTAACCATTTGGGTCGAGGAGTGTGAACTAAAATGGTGGCTGTTGGTTCGCATGCATTCCTTGACCTGATTCAAGAACGGGCGTATTACCATGTTGCAGTATAGCCAGGCATTTTGGCTAAGGTTGAGTCCAGTTTGGTGCGTAACCATGACTTTAATGATGAAGCGTTGCCGCCTGAGCAGACTTTTTTGAATGTAACCGACAGTTTCGATGTCCTGCTTGCCAGTAGCCACTTGACAGAGATCACGAAGGTACTGCTCCGTCTTGCGCTCCATCTCCAGACCGAGCTCTATCAGATGACAGATCAAGCCGTTGATATCCTTCTCGTTATGGCTCATAATGGGCACAGAGACAAGTGGTTTCATACTCTCTGGCAGTTGCCATTGTCCACCTCGGATCGCCTGGTACTCGATAAGACTTTCAGCGGTCTGACGCATACGCACGCCACAGAGGCGCAGAAACTCGCTAAAGTAAGGCATGGAGACGTTATCACTCATGCATATGGAGGCCATGCAATTGTAAGCTTGCTCTCCGGATAGATGCATGTTGATTCCAGTAGTAATGGATTTCTCCATATCATGAGAGTAATTGGTTCTTGATTCCATTGTAGTTGATACAGTTTTGTGAATTGCGCTCGAGCTCTGCACTCTATTCGTATATTTTATATTGGATACCAATTCTGTGAAATCAATAGTAATTCTGTCCCGAAGCTATTGCACATGATCCCCATCTCGTGCTCTTCGCTAGTTACATAATTGATTTGGAGCAAATAAAGCATAATTTCGGAGGTCCCCTCCCGATAGACTTATATCCAAAATCTTTTAAGCCAATTTTTTGAAAATAAGTGAATATTCAATAGAAGAATTGACGAACTTATGTAGGCAATAAATGCTCTCCACGAAGGTTAAATAGGAAAGTAAGCAAGATTCTGAATCATGATCTAAAGCTTTGGCAAGCTTACTACTCCTTTCATCTCATAAGCCAGATAATTCGAATTGAAAACTGTATACACTGTATATATGGAACGTTAATATTGGGAAATAAAATTCAAGCCATGATAATAGCTTTAGAAACATCCGTATTGGCGGCCACAGCATAAAAAAACGAATGGTGAATTCAATTGAGGCTTAGCAGTGGCATAGAATAGGGTGTTTAGCCGTAGTTCATACCGAAGAAAAGGGTATGCTAAGAAGCTTTGTATTAGGATATAATTAGAATCACCTCGGTCTGCAGTAGTCTGATCTTAATTGAATGATCATAGAGGCTGGCTGCATATGGGAAAAATACGCGAAAACACAATACACATGAGGCCGTCGATATCCTGACTGAAAGGAATCTACTGAACAGACAGGATTAGTGACACCTTTGCATATTGCATAAGAAAATTAGGAAAAGATCAGTTAACAGCAAGATCAGCATAAAGAAGACGACTAAATCAAGGAATTATTTACAATTTGAGGAAAAAAAATAGCAAAGAAACCACAGGAAAGCAAGTAGAACTATCGAATTTGGGGGTCAGCACACAAGAGGGTAGGTCACAGGAAAGTCATAGACCTAGCATTAGGGATAGGAGAGCGAACACCATCAATAATTGGCCTTGAAAAGATAAGTTTGAGTAAAGATTTTGTTCTTGACGTAACGGCTTGACGACGAGAGTTACTCGGTGCACATGGAGCACAGATATAAACTAATCTGCAACGTCAAGTTAGGTTTCCATGTCACTTAAAAATCCAGACTTTGGGGACTTCCTCAGTGAGGCTGACTTATACGTTCTATCATAATCGTGAGGCAGAAAGTAGGACACAACGCCACGAATAGCAAAGATAGAGTAAAATCACTGAACCATGGAGATAAAAGAAGGATCTTACTGAGCAGAAGAGAGACTGATAGGAACTGGAGGAGGAGGATTACGGACTAAACTGCAGTCTTGGATCAGCATTCTCAGCACAGGAGGGGGTGATACGAGGATATAGGATAGGTGAATACCCTAGGACAATTGATCAAAGGATCGACTATACTTGTTTCTTTGTCCAGTTGTAGTGGGATACTAAGAATAGCAGGGCTCTTTGAAGATGCTGACTAGGAAGTAGGAAAAAGCCTGGTAATATACCAAATCTACATCCTGGCTGGAAATAATCATGCATACTGTGGACTCCAGACAAAGTGCGTTCCTTTAGGTCTTATTGCCAATATGACTAAGTTGCGAAAACAATTTCAAACAATGTCTAAACCAATATTAGTTGAGAATAATTATCTACGAAGCTTAATTGAAAATAACATTGGGTTAATGAAAACAATGTCTCTCTGAATGGGGAGTATGTGAGAAGAGATACAATTACGGAGACCCTGTCATGTGTTGATTTTGCCTTTGTGCGTTCTTTCTAAAAAGATAATTCAACTGGTTAGAAATTGGAGAATAAAAACGGTCTTCATGGAAACTATGGCATTTTCTCCATTTATGCCCACTCTTGTATTTGGATTGTTAGCTGAGCCCAAAAGCTCCCCCAGAGACCGTTGGGTCCAAAAATCGCAAACCAGACATGACATTAAATGATCTCAAATTTGCCATTTTACTTATTATGATATACCTGCAACTAAGCGCAAAAATAGAGAGGACATTTAAGTTAACCGAGTAGGAAACACACGGCATGACGGGGATATCGGTTAGAAATTAGGGAAGGACTATTTATGCTTAATTGATAGACTCAAGTATAGAAGTTCTGAGCAACTTCAACGAAGGAGGCGATTCGATTAGTCATTTCATGTCCAGATCTAAATTACGGTCACTTTTATGTGCATCATAGTCCACTATATCTCTGTCACATAAAGACTAACAGCTTATCAACTTAATCAGACTTGCGTCCAACAATAAGAAATCAGAGTAAAGTCTAGAACATAATTAGAAGGAGATCATTCCAGCTTGATGCGTGAGGACGACGTTACGTTCTGCTCTGATTAATTTGAGGCAGCATTGTTGGTTTCATACCTATATTAACACGTGAAGGCATATAAATACACACAAGCGGACAAACGGACACATCAAAAAGCATTGGTTATGGTATCTATATATACATCATTTAAAGACTTGACTCATTAGCTTGAAGATGCATGTGAGAACGACACCATGTTGTTATGATGCTCGTCATATGATGGAATACAATCTAGCACGTGTTCACCGGAATCCGAGGAGATTGCCTCGAAAACAGCGGCATCAAGAATATTCCAGTATAGATAATCAACACTTTCAATCAAAATGGAGTTGAGTCTACAAATTACAAACCATTAGAATT